GTGTGTAAGAAACTACTTCTGGATTCACTAGCAAGTGGGTAAAGGTTCGCTTAGCTAGTCATCGTTCCAAACAAACCTTAATAGCAAAATTAGCTCTGAACGAGCTCGCACATAACTCGTTTCGCGAGTTACACGATTTAAATCGTGTGAGATCACACAAGGAAATAACATCGAACGACATTTATAAATAAACATCGAAGCAGAATAACGTACTAACCAACAGGAACAAAACTCACAACACGTACTCATGCAGCAGACATGGTGGGATGAATGAAGACTCTTGTAAGGTTAGTATGCGAAAACAGGCAATAGGCATAACGACACTAAATATTTGACGGACTCCAGCTCAAAATATTACCGAAGCAGATTGAAGTATTAGAATGAAAGTCATCATTTAAACCTTACCTGCACAACTGGGAACTGATGCAAACTTAAGGACTGCAGAAGCTGCAAACGTAAGTCATCAAAATAACTCTCACCAGTTTATGATCAAGATCGACAACAGATATGCAGCAGTGATTTGCGAAAGCAACAAGCCGTTGCCATCCACTATGAGGTTCGAAAATTAGGCACCCACTCACCAATCCACTGCATAAGTCGACTCAACACCACCAACTGACCCAATTGTAATGGGCCTAATATCCATCAGTATACCAATACAATTGGTTAAGACAGATTCCGTTTCACGCTTCAACGAAACGGTGTATTTAAACATAAAATGCAAAATTCTGTGGTATTGCCATTTTTTACATGCTTCGTTATTTTTGATCTGCTTAAATTAACTCTGCAAAAGCGATTACGAAAAATATTTCTATTTAGAATTCGCTGTTTAAACACTAGGCTTGACACATGCAGTTACCTCACAAAAAGACAAAACAGGGGTTTACCATAAACGCAAATATCAACTGCCAGTGATAGGCAGCAAAAACGGAGCCAATAGCTAGAGGAAGCAACAACATAAAAAACAGAAAAAAACAGGGAGCAGGGGGAAATGGGTGGTTTTCGTCTATTTCGTTGCTGATTACACTGATTACCTGAATCCTGGTGTTCAGGTTGGAAAATTGACTACAGCGTAGACATTAACACCCGTCTCTTAAAAAAGTAAAGATAAAAGGCTGTATGCCAACAAAAATCGTGGCTGAAGTTGAACATCTTTTGATGTTTATTTTTTACGACTTATTTTCGTAAATAAACCGGGCAATAGCACGGGTAATTACGATGTTTCCAATAGTGTAGATGGAACGTTAAAAGTTTCCTCAACATTATATATATATATATATATA